GCTCAGTCGGTTGAGCGTCTGACTCCGGCTCAGGTCATGATCTCACAGTTCGTGAGTTCAAGCCCTTGCATTGGGCTCTGTGCTGAAAGCATGGAGCCTGCTTGGGATTCTCTCTCTCTCCTCTCTCTCTGTCCCTCCCCTACTCGTGCTGTCTCTGTCTCTCTCAAAATAAATAAAAAAAAGGAAGTGGCAAGATGCCATTGTATGCTATATATAATTTTTTTAAACAATTACAAATAAAGGCAGAGAGTTTTTATGACAGAGTGGGGAGTGTTCGTAAAGAGCGGTCCTTGCAGCCTGGAAACAGCCTCAGAGCCCTTCCTTCACCTGGAAGCCATATTGACTATTCACTGAAAGCAAACCGAAAACAAAGAGCCGCTCATTAAGAGGGCTAAACTCAGATCACACCACCAATCAGAGACAGGAAAGAGAGAATAAGGTCAGGAACTTGACCTGCTGGCCTAGGTCTCGTCTCCATGTCCGCCTTTTGGGGCGTGACTTTGTCGAGAGGATCCAAAATGTTTATGTTCAACTTATTATTAGGTTTTTCTCTGTGTTCACATCACATCGGTTTCGATAATCCTGATTTTAAATTATTTTAAGGATATTCTAAATGCAGACTGAATTTTATCTCGATGCAGGGCGATGAATGATGAGATTCATTGCTCTTGATGTTTTCCCATCCTCTTCGTCGTTTGCAGTACCTGCTAGAACTCTGCAGGCACTCGCTTGAAAACTTGTTTCCATAGAGGGCAGATTCCGGCTCTCCTACAACTTGACAGCTGATCTTGGTCAAGTCATGAGGTTGGACCCCATGGAACTGCCATTTTGATAGGTCAAAAATGGCCGAATGGGACCCAAACCACGTATTTACACCATGTCTTAGCCTCAACACCTGCAAAATGGATGTGATATCATTAACATCACAGGAATGTTTAAAGACTAAGCGAGCCCTGGCGGGAGGTTGGAAATGTTAGGTGGGGGGCGCAGTGGTAGCGGTTTGCCTTCTGAAGCCTTTCAGAAGGGAAAGAACCGGATGGCTAGACCTGTCAACCTACGCCCAGGGAGGCCGGGAGCCAAAGAAGGCAACAGAGATCCAGGCGAATTTCTGAAAGACTGTAACTTGCCCTCTAATATGTACGTGGAATCTGACCCAATCCAGTTCATATTTCTTCCTTTTGGGGAATGAGGCTTAGAAGAGAGGCTGGGAAATACGGGGTCTTCTCTCTCCCCCAAAAGTCATATAATTCTACACACCCGGATCCAGAACCAGACTGAAGGGCTCTTTCCCAACCCTGCAGATTTCCAGTTTCCGAGGCGTCTGAGCGTGGAACCCGAAGGGAGAGATGTGACTCAGTGCCGGCTTGCCCAGCGTTGCTGCAGGAACCCGACCAAACCGGAACATATCCAGAAAGTGCCACCAGCTTCTATGTGAGGACGTGATCTGTTCTGACAGTCCATGAAACCGTTGAGGTAAACCAGAGAAGGTTATTAAAAGCTCTGCTGGTTAACATCTCAATCTATTCTAAATGAAGTGTGCTCAGTCCCTTGCAAAATAACGTTATTTGCTCGATGTTACTGGCGCTCGTTGTTTCCTGCATTCACTTCTCACATCAACACAGCAAGATGGGCGTTCTCATTGCCGCACGTGACGCTGTGTCTCAGACCGAGGAAGCAAGTGGCCCCAAGGCTACAAATTAGGAAGTAGTAGACTTTTGAGGCCACGTTTGGCTGGTTCTGAAGCCCAGACCCATAACCACTTTGTAAGCACTAATTTCCAGCTTTAAAATATGTTTCCCTAAATAATCTTATGAAGTAACAAGTGATGGTATCATCATTGCAGTGATGTGCTGGCAAACGGGCTTTCCAAGAGGGGAAAAAACCAAAAAACCTGACTTGAGCATCTGCTGATTCCCATGCTATAAATAATTGCACCCCATGGCCAGTTCGATACATCGATGCCTGGGGACATTCTGGAATATTTAGCAGTGGGCTCCTGGGAGCTGGTGCGAGCCCACCCCAGCACGCCAGCGTAAGGTTCTCATTACACCGATGCACAGACCAAAGCCCCAAGGCATCCATGTACTTGCCACAAGTCCACGTCATTAATAGCTACCCCTGAACTTGAACTTGGGGCCTCTACAAAAAGGCCACCAGTTGTTTTCACGACTCCATCTGTACTTAACCACCTTAGGGGAGGGGAAAAGAAGCATCACTGCCTAACACATGGCTCAGACCATCTTCTCGACAAACGGAGTGTTCTTGAAATTTGATGCCCCCTTCCAATATGTTGACACTTATGGGGACTCTTCATCTGCTGGATGGGCTGAATTGGAGGGTCTTAGATCAATGAGCTAAGAGATGGGAAGAAGAAGGTAGATTCAAGAATAAGCAGAAATGTCAGCATGTGTGACACAGCCCTACCAACAGCGATGGCTCAGGTCCCTGCTTGCCGATCCATTCAAATAGAGCCTATTGGGGAGAATTTACAGGAAATGGGCTGTGCTGGATCCCATGTATGTCTGGAAGTCCTTTGCTACTCCAGAGGAAGAGCCCTGCTTGGACGCGAAGCCAACGAAAAAGAAAGTAGAGCCAAGACAAAGAGAAAACCCAAATCCTGACCCTGTCATTGGAGACTGGACATGGAGTCCAAGCCCCGCATCGAGCTAATGCTACCTCTCGACTTTCCAGCTATGTGAGCCCGTAAGTTCACTTTGGCCTTAAAATGGTTTGATTTAGGGTCCACAACATGTGTGTAAAAGGGTTCTCATTAATGCAGCTTCTTTGGGGAGTCAGGTTCTGGCTGAAAGAAACTAGGATTTGGGTTAACATCAAAACGATCTCACGAGCACCACTCTCAGTATTTTGTACAGAATTGCCAGTTGACTCATCAACATTTCAGTTCAGAACGTTCCCCGGGTAGGAGCTGGTTGGGTTCAGCCAGAGACAAAAAAATAAATACGGCCCCTAAATGGGCTGGACGGCAGACAGATGAAGTCACAGGGTCTCTAAAAATGGATTCAACTTTAGTCCATTTCTAAGGCACTGGAACAGAAGGGCTTTAAACCTCCAGAATCAATTATGTGTCAAAAAAGTATTTACTCGGCTTCCAATGAATGCATCTCACTAGTAGGCCTCTCGGGATCTCCCCTATATCCCCCTACAATATTCTAAACCAGCTCGTACCAAGAACTGGAAGGACCTTGAGTTCACAGAGCAACACTGACTTGAACTTGAATCCTCTACTCACAGCTCAGAGTCCCGGTAACAGTGATAACTAATGTTTGCTAATTAGCTTGTGTCATACTGTCAACAGCCCATTGAATCAGGTCCTATAATTACCCCACTTCATAGACAAGAACCACAGGGGAGCCTCAGTAACCTCCCAAACTCAAACATCTGGGCAGTGGCAGAGTGGGCTTGGAACCCCAGGCAGCCTGGCTCCAGAGTCTGGCTTCCCAACGAGTGTGGAAGGCAAGAAGTCAAGACTCAGGGTGCAGGTGGAGTTGAGGGAGGGTCTGGTCCAGTATCAACCTGTAGATGAGGAAAGGGAAGACCAGACGGAGGAAGCAACTTCCCAAGGTCATGCAGCTACTTCACCGCAGCCTCTCTCCCAGGTTCTTGCCTGGATGTCTTCTGAATGCAGATACACAGGTCTTCTGGTATACGTGTGGCCCTCGGGGGCGAAGTGGCTGGGCCCTCCTACTGTGTGATCTCAGCTCTTGGAACCGTGGTGCAAAAGTAAGTAGTCTTGGGGCGCCTGGGTGGCTTAGTCGGTTAAGCGTCTGACTTTCGCTTAGGTCATGATCTCGCGGTTCGTGGGTTAGAGGCCCACGTCGGGCTCTGTGCTGACTGCCAGCTCAGAGCCTGGAGCCTGTTTCAGAGTCTGTGTCTCCCTCTCTCTGACCCTCCCCTGCTCACGCTGTCTGTCTGTCTGTCTCTCTCTCCTAGAAATAAATTTAAAAAAAAGTAAGTAGTCTTTTTCACTGGGCGGAGGGGGTGGGGGGGGGGAAGGACTTCACTCTTCCTTCTTAAGGAAAGAAGGAAGTAGCAAGGACATACCAATGAGTCACACAATCTGTATGAAGGAAAACTGAATTTTTGGACTCGGAGGTTTTGAGCAAACGGTTCCCATCAGACAGGAGGTATTTCTAGAATACATGCTGTCTAAGTACAGACCCAGGTCCTACTAGGGGCAGGCGCAGCAGCTTCCCAGTACGAGGTGACAGGGTGTTTGTCAGAACAGCTGCTAAAGAACAAATAAAGTTCTAGGAATCCGGACGTCAACTAACAGTCTGTGGGGACAGGCTCAGACTCTTGAGCCTCGGGAGTCCAAACCCTCCAGAGAGAGACCAAAAGGGACTGGAATTTCCTTAGGAAATGGCAAGTCGTTTTATTTCAAAGCCCTTTGAGGTTTCAGAAACAAGTCACTAGTTTCTGATGCCAACAGCAAGGAGCCAAGCTGATGCAGAAGCAGGATTCGCTCGTTGGTTGAGTGCCTGGGTGGCTCAGGTGGCTTTTTAATTTTTTGGGTTTATTTATTTTTGAGAGAGACAGACAGACAGACAGTAGAAGAAGGGGAGGGGCAGAGAGAGAGGGAGACCCAGACTCCAAAGCAGGCTCCAAGCTCTGAGCTGTCAGCACAGAGCCTGACGCGGGGCTCAAACTCACGAATCGCGAGACCTGAGCCAAAGTCGGACGCTTAACCGACTGAGCCAGCCAGATGCCCCGGCTCAGGCATCTCTAGATCCCGGGTTTGTGAGATCGAGCCCCACGTTGGGTATCGAGATTACTTAAAAGAATAAAAGCTTTGAGGGGCGCCTGGGTGGCTCAATCAGTTAAACATCGGACTCTTGATTTCAGCTCACGTCTTGATCTCAGGGTTGTGAGTTCAAGCCCCCTGCTGGGCGTGAAGCCTACTTATAAAATTAAAAATAAAGTCTTTGAAAAAAATAAAAAAAGATCATTTGTTAGCCTTGAATAACCCAGAGAGCCATTCATGTGTTTCACTGATGGGCTTTTATTAACATGTACATAGGTCTCATACTGAAATGTTTTTATTTATATTTTTTTAAAAAAACCTCCTTTATTCCTAGTATCAAAATAGTTCTTTTAAATACCTTGAAAACCAGTAATACAATTATTTTTTTTATATATTAAATATCTTCTTAAAGTCTCAATCACTTCTCTTCCATCTCTCTCCTAGAATCCCGCTATCTCGTGATTTTGGCATCTTGGACGCTTGTATCCCAGGGAAGCGTTTAGAGGTTTGAAAGAGAGAAGCCAATGACGAGAACTGACTTGGTGTTGAAGACTCTTATGTCCGCGGCTGCAAAGTTGGCCCACACCCAAGTCACTCTTGAGTGCAGGGATTCGGGCCCTAGAATTGTTGAAATGAAGCACTTCTTGCCCTGAAATAGCAATGCTGACCCCACAGCACCCCCTGGTGGCCTGCACAGGTAAAAGCACCCAGCAGTTCAGGAAAGTATTTGGACATGCTGTGTTGGAAAATCTAGATGCAGACACCAAAACAAAAACAAAACTAAGTTAAACTTATTTCCCGGGGTCCCGAGACAACTGGCTTCCGGGAGCCCACTCTCCACACACACAAGCTTCTCACGACTGGAACCCACCGTCAGAAGCTGGACTCGGGTAACGTTTTCTTCCGACTCAAGGAAAGAGTGTGGTATTTCACCTTCTGCAAGGTGCCGAAGGGAGTGTGCTCCCCTGGGAGGGTCCTCTGGGACGGGCCCAGGGCGCTGGCCCTCGGCCTCACGGCTCTGCGAGGGAGGCGGAGGGAGCTGGGCGCTGACCACACGTCCCTCTCCGGGCGGCTGCCGGGGGCTCTGGCCAGGCTCTCCCGGGCCCAGGGGGGAGGAGAGGAGCCTCGAGCCTGCTCATCCACAGCCAGGCTCAGCCTGCCGCTCACCAGGGAGACTGGGGGCGCCTGGGGGGCCACCTGTGGCCGATCATATTTGTTCTCCTTCTTGGAAAACATGGACCTCAGAAGGGTGAGGGTCCCCTGTGGGATCCTGTCCGGCTCAGCATCCCTGCCATCCACATTAGCCCTCGCCCTGGCGCGGGCATTCTGGCGGCTGTCTGCACTATTTCTAGATAATTCCGTGGTGCTCAGAGCCTCTGTGGGGGAGGGTGCTCTGCTAAGGCTTCCTGCCGGGCCACTTCCCTTGCAGCTCGCGGTCTTCTGGCCCTCCGGCCGGGCTCGTTGCTCGTTCCGCACCGAGGGCATCACCGTGAGGGGCAGGTCAAGCCACCTGGGGAGCCTGATGTCCTGGCTTCCATTCCCCTTGGCTTTCCTGGCTGTACTTAGACCATCTGCGGTTCCGGGGGCTGCACGAGGGCCGGGGTGGCCTGGGAGGCAGGGCGCCCGGGCAGGCACCCTCTCGCTGGCCCGCCCGCTGCCGTCACCCTGGGCGGAGTCCACGTTCTCGTAGGCAGCGCCCGTCAACAGCGGCACAATGGACTGGCTCGTGGATCGGGGTCTCCGCCGGGACTCCAAGTACTCCACCAACTCGACAGTTGCACCGGGTGGTTTCTCCCTGGGTCTGAAAGACCACCGGAGGGGCATGGTCTTAAAGGCCCCCTGCTTGGCCCTGGAAGGCGCAGGCTCCTTCATGCTGATGCTCCGGCCTCGTACGCCCCGTACCAGACGCCTGGGCTCCGGCTCTCCTGTAAGAGACGATAGCATCAGTGACCAAACAGCCCTCCCAGCTGCAATGAGTGGCAATGCCCGCCATCTGTCTAACAGACACTGACTGAGCGCCCCTGATGGATCGGGCACCGTGCTGGCCGTTGGGGACACAGCAGTGAGCAAGACATGGAGGTTCTAGCCCTCGGAGGCATCAGTGTTTGCTTGTGCCCAGCAGAAATCCTTCCTTTTCCAGGTTACATTAGGTGCCTGTATCTTTCAAATGCGAGATTCTCAGAGAACCCTATCCTGGGCTAAAAAGAAAAACTAAAAAGTTGTGCATTTAATTTTATCAGAGATGCCACTTACCTCTTCCCTCTGTGTCTTAAACACCTGTGTATGGTTGGAAAGATACTTTTCATGTGTGATGCTTAAATGAGAAACAGAGTCGGAAAAAACAGCGCAATCCAACTTGCAAAAATACATACTCGTGTGTGTGATACACGCATGTGCAAACATATAAACAATTATGAAGACAAACACTAAAGTGACAAGGTGTCAAGGGGACCGTGGGATACTGTGACTGATTTTCTTCTTCTTTTCCAAATCTTAATGTTTCTAAAGGGAATACACACATAACCAAGGATGTATGCTTCTTCTTAAGAAACATTCAGTTACGAAAACACTTCTATTTACAATAGCATCCAGGGAGCCTGGGTTGCTTGGTCCGTTGAGCATCTGACTTTGGCTCAGGTCATGATCATGAGGTTCATGAGTTTGAGACCTGCATTGGGCTCCACACGGATAACGCAGAGCCTGTTTGGAATTCCCACTCTTGCCCTCTCTCTCCTTCCCTCCCCCGCTCATGCCGTCTCTCTCTCTCCAAAATAAATAAATAAACTTAAAAAAATTTTTTTAAAAAGAATATAATACTTAGGAATTAACCAAGGAAGTAAAAGATTTATATAACAAAAAACTACAAAACATTAAGAAGAAATTAAAGATAACATAAATGGAAAGACATCCCATGTTCATGGATTGGAAGGCTTACATATTGTTAAAATGGCAACGTTACCCAGAACGATCGATCTCCAGCTTTGATGCAAATTCCTTTCAAAATCCCAATGGGGCTTTTTGCAGATGGAAAAATCCATCCTGAAATTCATATGGAGTCTCAAGGGACCTCTGCAGCCAGTCACAAAAAGACAAATACTGCATGATACCACCTCACAAGTTACCCAGAGTGGCTGTAACCAGAGAGACAGAAAGTACAGAGGTGGTGGCCAGGGCCTTGGGGAAGAGGAGAGGGCAGTGTTATTGTGTAACAAGCAGAAGCTTTCAGATTTACAAGATGAAGAGTTACAGAGACGGATAGTGGCAATGGCTGCGATACAAGTGGAATGTATGGAATATCACTGAAACGTACACTTGAAAAAGCTTCGAGTGATCAACTTTGTTATGTGTATTTTCAGGTGATAATAAAAGCAAAAAAACAAAAAACAAATTGCAGTGTCTGCCTTCATTTATAAGATGCCTGTAATCACAGAGAGTAAAAACCTTCGCCTGAAACACACAACCCACATGGTGGAGGGACAGTTGCGTGTGTTGAAAGACCTGAGGTCAACTCCAAAAGACTTCCTCGACAGCTGACTGCTTGTGTCATGGAGTAGGAGAGCAAGCCCCATACGAGCAAGGGCTGTGCCACAAATATAGCCCCGGTAAGCAGCATGGCCACCTGGGATGAGCCACGTGAGGCGGGACTGGGGATTCTCAGAGGACAGGTGACAGCTCAGTATGCACCGGTAGAGAAAGCGCAGCATGTGACACATCAGCCAGGCTCCCGGGGAAGAAATGACCAGAAGGCAGAGTCCCAATGCCCATCAATGACTGGAAGGGTCGGACAGCATCTCTGAGGTTCCTGGGGAATTCTGCCTTCCACAGATTATTTCTGGGAGTTTTTAATCGCCTACATTTTTTCCCTCCGCTCGGTCTTGTGTTCTTTAAAGCATTTCCGTAGCCAGCAAGAGACACGATTTCACCCAAAGCATTTTACAATTTCACTGTCCATAGGCCCTGTCGCTCCACCATTAAATCCCCATGCCTCGGGGGAATAAAATGTGCTGGGGTCTGAGACACATAGGCGGGTGTTTTCCCCCCTCTTCTGCAACCCTGGGAAGGGCAGAAAGCACCGCTTTTATTAGAACAGAGCCATGACTTGGCTTTTCAAAACGAGATAACACAGCCGGCGGCCTGGCAGGTGGCTAGGTAGCGTGGCAGCAAGTCCCCTCCTCCCGGATGAAAGGCCTGGGTCCCGGCCCACATCACCCCTACAGCTCCCTTTCATGGGGGCCGCAGAGGCCCGTGCAAGCCCTTCCTTCTGCATCTTTCTAGAGGCCAGCGAGGAGGCACCTTGGCCCCCAGGGTAAGAACAGAAGGGACAGCTTAGTGCCCACACTGATGCGGTGTCACCAGTCACAAATGTCTCCCTTCCGAGGGGAGGGGACAGTGCTCCCCCCGCTCCTCCCCGGGGGAACCTCCCGGGAGAGAGCCCGAGGCAGAGGTGGCGTTCTGAGATGCCTGAGGAGGGAATCTGTGGCCTTGGTCATGCCCAGCCTCCTGGAGAACCAGGAAGGAAGAGTCTAGAGCCTTGGGCCCCATGGAGGACATGAATAGCTAAGTCCTTCCTAAAGGTTATCTAAGCCCCGGGAGCCTGCAGAACAGGCTTCCCAGGTCCGGTGAGGCCTCCTCACACTGATGGTGCCCGTGCGGCTGGTGGGCACGGCGCCCACCCACGGCCCCACCTGTACGTGGCTCTGGAGACAGCAAATGAGAAATGCCCCATCTGTTCTTATGTGACTTTTTCTCCTCGGCTAATGAAATCAGGCATCGATCTGACTTCACGATGTGTGTGTGCCGTGAGCACCCAGACCTCAGAACAAGACTCCTGGTCCAGTGCTCTCAGCTCTCAGGCTGTCCAAGGGTTTCCACTGTGGCTCCGACAGCCACCCACTTGTGCGTTCAACAGACATGTAATGAGAGCCTCCTGTGTGCCAACCACGTGCTTCCAGTGTTGGGGATGGAGCTGTGGGAAAACACACAAAGGGTCTGCCCCTGTGGGGTTCACCAGAAAGCAACATGTGATGGCATGGGATATAGTGCTGAGAGTTATGATGCAGAATGAGGCAAGGGAAGGGTGGGGATACAGCGTGGGGACTGTGGAGTGAGGAGGGACCTGATGAAAGGGAGAAGGAAGCCACGTGGAGACTGGGGAAAACAGCCTCCAGGCAGCAGAAACAGCAAGTGCAAAGGCCCTGAGGCACAACTGAGCTCGGTGGGTCAGGGAAGCAGCAGAGAGCCCACCATGGCTGTAACCAAAGGAGCAAATGTTCCCCAAGAGGGATCTTCATCTTCCGACATCCTCTCTGTATTTGGAGGCATCTCTTTCTCTGGTTGCAGTCTGACTCCCTACCCCCCGACTTTCCACTGGACCCTAGAGGGTAAGGACAAGCTACTCAGCCGAGCCAAGCTCTGTCCACCTCTGAGGCCCCTTCCATTGCTCCAAGAATCACCTACGCTCGGGGGAGCATGGAGGGGACCCCAGCGGGCAAACACAGAAAAAACACCACCATGCATAAGTGGGTCCAGGAGTCAGAGGGCAGACAGAATCATCAGAAAGGGCCCCTAATGAAGTGGAGCCACCGGAAGAGACAGAACAGAGACAAGCTCTCAGGGAGATTAAAATACACAACACGAGAGGACTGCCAGATGTCCTCTGGGTCCTAAAATTCAGTAAATGCACTCAAGACACGCAGGGTTGTGTTTGAGACTCAAGTCAGCAGCCGGAAAGATAAAGGGAAAGGAGGGATCTCACACCTGAGAGCAAAGTGACCAAGAGAAGTCATGGGGCAAAGCAAGGAGACACAGAGAATGGGCCTGGGGAGCCTTTGGGCAAATGACAGAAATCTGAAAAGTCAGAGAGACAGTAAGTAAACAAAGAACATTTCCCTAAAGGAAAGCCTGCATCACACAATCAACAAGAGCCAAAGTGTGGAAAGAGCCCAAATGTCCATTGGTGGATGAATGGATAGAGATGTGGTGTGTACATACAATGGAGTGTCACTCGGCGATCTAAAACAATGAAATCTTGTCATTTGCAACAGTGTGGCTAGAGATAGTGTATTAATGCTCAGCAAAATAAGTCACAGGAAGATAAATATCATAGGACTTCACGCATACATGGAACTTAAAAATTTAACCTTTTATTTATTTTTGAGATACAGAGAAAGAGCGCGAGTGGGGGAGGGGCAGAGAGAGAGGGAGACACAGAATTGGAAGGAGGCTCCAGGCTCCGAGCTGTCAGCACAGAGCCCGACGCGGGGCTCGAACCCACGGACCGTGAGATCGTGACCTGAGCCGAAGTCGGACGCTTAACCGACTGAGCCCCACAGACTCCCCTCATATATAGAATTTAAGAAACAAAACAGATGAACATAGGGGAAAGGAATGAAAAGTAAGATAAAATAGAGAGGAAGGCAAATCATAAGAGACTCTTAAATACAGAGCACTGAGGGTTGCTGGAGGGGAGTGGGGAGATGGGCATGAAGAAGAGTACTTGTTGGGGCGCCTGAGTGGCTTAGTCGGTTAAGCATCTGACTTTCACTTAGGTCATGATCTCGCGGTTCGTGGGTTCGAGCCCCGCGTTGGGCTCTGTGCTGACTGCCAGCTCAGAGCCTGGAGGCTGTTTCAGTCTGTGACTCCCTCTCTCTCTGACCCTCCCCTGCTCACGCTGTCTCTCTCTCTCAGAAATAAATAAAAATATTAAAAAAAAAAAAAAGAAAGAAGAGTAGTTGTTGGGAGGAGCACAGGGTGTCGTATGTAAGTGACGAGTCACTAAATTCTATTCCTGAAATCATTATTACACTATATGTTAAATAACTTGAATTTAAATAAAATTTAAAAATTAAAAATAAATATGACCTGTCATGCTGTCTCAAAATAAATAAACTTTTAAAAAATGAATAGGGGCACCAGGGTGTCTCAG